CTGATCCGGACAGGTCGCGCAGGCCGTGCGCAGGTCACGCGTAGGCCGCGCGGGCCACGCCAGGCCGCATGCAGGCCGCCCATAGGCTGTGTGCAGATCGCGCCAGGCCAGCCAGACCGGTGCCCGGGGGGAGACACCAACTTGGTGAGTTGTTGCTTGGGTGTTTGCCTAATTGTCATGAGGTGCCACGTGTCGCAATTTCACTGGAGGGCCAAATCTGCCCTCATCACATTTGGTCGGATATCACCCTCCATTGAAGAAGATAAATACTTTGCGCTGGTCCAACGGTCCAAGGCTTAAGGTACGACAACAGGAAATACTTTGACAACATAATATATGGTGGAAAAACTAAAAAAAAATGCATGGATACACAGGAAAATTCAAATAAATAAAAGATTTAACGTATCAGAGAAATATGGCAAAGGTAAGAATTAAAATATGCATGTTTACTTATGAAATTAATATAAATCTCATTAAAAATAATCAATTTTAGTTTTCAACTTTTTATAAAAGATCTTAATTTTAAATCTATGCTACTGATCATAGACTTGTCATTGTATGGTATAGTGATTAGAACTCTTAATTTTCATATGGGTGTCCTCAGTAAGTCAGTAATAATCCCTTTACAAAAAAAAAATAACATTGCACGAGTACTAGTATATTTGATCAATAATAATTTTATAACTCATGCACTGGTCAAGTTAATCTTGTAATTCAGCAAGGTGACAAAATAGTTTTCAAAACCTTCTTTAGAAGCCACAAATGAAGGACTAAAATGATGTCTACCCAATATGAGCCACAAAGAGCTCTTGTCCCTACATCATCTTCATTCACCAGATCCATTCATACCTACTCAATTTTTCTACCATTCTGTAACTCTGCTCAAATTGCAATTTGTCACCACCAAAAACTGTGAGCTCCAGCAATACTAGTCACTCCATCCATCTACCATCATCTGTTTTTGAAATCACAGGTCAATAATATCTATGTACTTAAAAAAAAAAAAAAGATTGACAGAAAAAAAAGGATGCAAATAGGAATATCAAACCACATTTACATGCACACTCAAAAACTTTCATAATAAATGCATAAATTAAGTACCAACCTTCATTTGGTCCATTTTCCCTTTATATACTTTCAATTTTTGAAGTAAATATGCAATTCCCTCCTTAACTGTTGCTTTCCTTCCTTCTTCAAAATTCCATAGCTCAGATATGATGTACCTCCCACTTGGATTGTACTCGTTCATCTCCGTCAAGGCTTCTGAAACAGCCTTATATGCCTCATCGCCTAATTCATTCTTTAGACCTTTAAGTTTTTCATCCTTATCATCTATTACTTCCTGCACCAGCAACACCAATGTAAATGAGAAAACAAAAAGTAAACTACAAAATTTGTTTCCTGAGGCAAAGTCTTTTCTTCATTTTATTTGCCACTCAATAAAAACAAAATCTAATCTCTCTTCTTAAATAACTAAACGAGTAAATTCCCCTTTCAATAGGATTTATTTTTGCAGTAGGTTACATAGCCAATGTGATATACGGGACTCTTTAGTTTCCAAGTTAAACAATAAGAACAGATTCAATAAAGTGAGAGTTTGGTTCCACTAAACATTGACTAGAGGACCTATACCATTTTTCTAAGAAATAACTAAAACTAAGTTCTTAAAGCACAACTCTATGTTTCCCATCTCTAACAAAATTGTTGTTGAGAAATCAGCTGTAATTGCTTGTTTCCCTCTCATTGTTAGTTTTACTCTGTGTGTGTGTGTGTTTACAGCCCTTGGTATAGGCGTTGGGTCTGTTTTGCTTTTATTATACCTACTGCCTTAACCACTGACATATTTGTAATTTTGTTTTTTATTCCCAGCAACTAGGGGTGTCAATGGACCGGTTTTGGGTTGGACCCATCCAAATCAAAATCAATTTGGTTGGATTGGACAGACCAATAAGACATATTGAATTGGACAAATCCAGACTTAATGGTCCAAAAAATTTATTGGGTGAGATTTATATTGGATTGGATCAGATTGAACCAATAGTCGGTCCATTGATAGAAAATAAGAATACAGGTATAAACCAACCAGGTTTGGGTTGGAACCAATCAAAATTAAAACTAATTTGAACAGATTGGAATGGTCCAAATTGGTCTAAGTATTCATCAGATCGGATTGGACCTGGTCCATCTGTAATGGAATATTGGACCAAATCTGGTTCAATTGACATCCCTTCCAGAAACTACTATAAATAGAACCGGGAGAACTAATGGCTCCCATGATGTTGAGTAGTCTCTTGACATCTTCACTCTTCTCTCTTCCCGTTTTTGTTCCCATCTCGCAATCTTAATGCAAATCATATTTCATTACTACTTTACCAGACAAGTTGGTATCAGTGCCTCTTCCTCTGCATGATAGACCCCTAGACTACCATGATCAGAAGTGTGCAAGAGGATTTGAAGGGCTGATCATTACATGATCAACTAACCTAGGCTTTCTTTCGAGGATTTTTGAGAAAATCTTGATGAATTTTGCATCCTATAAGGGTTTTCAAGAGATTTGTGCACAAAATAAAGAAAACCAGAAAAGTTGCAAAACCAACAAACCGGGATAAGAGATCATCTACAGGCTGGCATTTCTACGTTTCTTTGATGTATGTTTTGTCGTTATATAGAGATCAATGGCTTCATTTGGAGCTGTTGAGATGACTGGTAAAAAACACCCTATCTTTTTCCTTCTTTATCCCTGCGTTTAGGGTTGGTGGAAGGGTGGAACCCCATAAGGTTGTGTGGATCTGGACTGTAGGTCAAGAATTTGTACTCCTAAAGCCTGTATTCTTTTGTCTATGCAGATTTGCTCAAGGAATTCTTTTTCAAGTATACAATGGATTAATTTTCTTTGTTATTCTATTTTGTCCAAAACTTTTAAACTTGACAAATTCTGATTTTATTTCCTTGGTTAAAGTAGAAGTTCACCCTAGTTATTTTTTGTTATTTACAAAGCCCATTAGCCCATTTTTGTTTCACAATCACCATGTATTAGTACCTAAATATGTTTAATGTACACATGGAATACAGTAGTACTGGACACAACACCAAATGCAGCATAGAAAGTTGAACACTTATGTACACATGGAGTATGGTTCATAGTTGAACACTTAAAAAAGATAAGAACGGTGTATTTTCACAACTTATAGTTGTGAAAAAAGTTAATTGATTTCAGTAGTTCAACGAGATTTCCCAATATGAGTTTTAGAAAATTATATTTAGTGTTTAGTTAAAAAAAACCGAGGTATTCCACAACATGAATGTTTTTGTTTTCATTTGTTTTTAAAATCACCATATCAGCCAAAAAATTGAAATACATTAATCAATTATATTTTTTGTTTTGAGAAGCATAAACGTCATTTTGTCTCAAAAAAATCATGTTTTTGAAACCATCAAAATAATGATTTCTAAAACAATAAAAACTTTTGGAAGACAGATAAACTGATCTATCAAACATGATGCCAATCACCTGATGAAAACATGTTCTTTAAACCATAAATTAAAAACATGTAGGTTTTAGCTGTAGGGAGAAAAGCACATATACAACCAAGAATATGCTTTCTATATTTTTATTTTAAAAATAATTTGTTTTCACACCGGATGGTTTTGATTTGTTTAAGAAATAAAAAAATAAAAAATAATTCACATTGAAGAACACCCTAAGGATCTGGAGTCTATAATTTGGTGCTATAGGGATGAGATGAAGGAATTTAAATGGCTTACTAGAAGTATGAATTTGAGGATACTTTTTGGATTTGGAGATTGGCTAATGAAGTGGCAGATGTAGCTAAACAAGGGGTAAACAGAGATAATTTGCATTGGGCTCAATTGTAATTTGCTTATTGTGCGAGAGGTAGCACCTCATGCCTATGTGAGGATGCTTGTACTGCCTATATTTATTGCTAATAAAATCTTACTGACTTGTAAACAAACAAAAAACACCCAAAGGGTGGTGTTCTACATCATAAATGTTTAAAGTTTTCATTTGTTTTCAAAATTCCCAGATCAGCAAAAATAAATGAAACACGATCTTGGTCAATGTAACAATCAAAGTTTTTAAAATCATCAAAATAATGGTTTGTTTTTAGGGAGGCTTAAACTTCTGCCCACTCAATATCATTTGTATTACAAGATTGCCCAAAATAATTGATCTGTCATGCTTCCTTGCTTAGCTAAGGTATCAGCCAAGTAATTAGCTGATCTGTTCACCCATTGTGCCTAGTTGTCGTATTTCTCCTCATCCATTTTATGCATTTCATTTCATTTCCCTGAATATTGTACCCTGAAGCCCAGAATGTAGGAAATGCCAGATTGGATTGTCTTCTACTAAGAAATTATTAAACTAAATTAAGATGGAAGAGTATGCAGCATATGCAGAATGAGAAGTATGAATGAAGTAGGAACATAATTAAAAATGCATACCTGGTGTTTCCCACCAACCTTGATTATTTTAAAAGGATGCCACTGAGCATCTCTTATTCGTCTATCCCATAATGACCAAAGATCTATAGCTTTTTTACTAAGATCAAAAGATTTTTCCTCTTCCATTTTTCCAGAACGTTTGTGCTTGACTGCTTTGAAAAATGGTTTATCATCAAGATCTCCAAGTCTCTTGACTCCAATTACATGATTTGATGTAGATACATCTTGTAAACCCTATATGGAAATGGAAAGTAGTCATAATTATCATCAATCTTAGGAAATATGCCATGATAAGGAAGACAAAGCTTTTAAAATATAAAGAAGATGTGTACAAGTTGCAGGCCACGTTGAAAAAAATTATCTTCTACATTCCACCATTATGGAACTTTTAATTAGAAGCATAGGATCCATAGTTACATAAGAGTAATCCTTACTTACTCGAGTCCATAAAAATGGAATACAGAATTCTGCATTGCAGTTTAATAAGGCAACAGATTAAGTAGCAAAAAGTGTACCACAAAAACATGGCTGCAAATGGATCAAATTTAGTCCAATTCGAATTTGAATATGTTTTGTTTAAGTTGGATTCCAATATTCACTTGAGCATAATCAGATCAGAATTGGAAATGTGATTCATTTATTAATTGAATTGGATTCAGAAACTGCTGGATCTGATTAGCCAAAGTCTAATTTTACAGATAGTTTTATATTTAGTTGTATAGAATCTATAGATTTATGTTGCTTTTGTACAGATTTACTAAATAGGTGTTTGGTACTGTAGTCATTTTTTATGCACAGGAGCTTGTGCACAACTTACCTGCCCTCCAGATTTTCAAGGTAAAATTGTTTTCCAGGCGAAACAGATACCTTACCAATCATGCCCTAAGTTTTAAACCATATCAGATATCCAGATATAGAAATGAAATGAATTAGCATCTATGGTTCACCTATCCATCGGATTCTGGATCAAATAGAGATCTGCCAAGTTTTAATAGATCAAATTTGGATATACCCCTAATCAAGAAACAACAACATATGAGGTTATTCATAGACTTAACAGCTCTGAGAATTGGATGATGTATGTGAAGTTCCAAGATGATGGCGAGAAACTTACATTGATTAATTCTTTCCGAGCTTCCTGCAGCTCATCATTGATCTTGCTCTGCTTGACTAAAAGAACTTGAGTTAAGGCTTCTAGATCATCCACCCTTTCCATCTTTTCATTCAAGTCTTCATTCATGGCCTTTATCTTCACTTTTAAGTCTGTAGTAATGGTGTCCATCTTCATCTTAACATCCATATACTGTTCACCCATGTGCATCATAAGATCTATAGTATCTTTCACTCTCTCAAGTTCCACGGCCAATACTTCTTTAGGGTTTGTTTTCTTTTCTAGTTGAACCAATCGTCTCTTAAGTTCTCCCTGTCTCTGATATTAAATTTACATACAAATAAAAATTATGTAACTTCTGGAAATAAAACAAAACTACTTGTTTGTTGCTCATATGATAATTCATTCAACTTCAAGCACACCTTCTGCTTTTCTGCGAGCCTTGTGGTGTTGTCATCTTTTGTTTGCTCCATGGTTTCTATTCTGCATTTACGACTTCCCATTGTATTTTAGGGAATCAGTGTTTTAAAAGTAAGAGGCACAACAAAACTGCAAACCTTAAACGAAGTGAGGCACAACATTAGAAGAAAAATAGAACAAGAAAATTGACAGAAGAATATACAAATCTGGAGTATATTGCATATATATAATATTTATATTGAATAGAATATAACATCCATATAAATTTATTTTATACATTATATTATATAGAAAATATTATAAGCGTAATATATAATAAAACATGAAATAGCATATATACATATGTATACATTATATATAAAATATATATTTAAAGATATGCAGGCTGGGTCAGGCCTAGACAAGGCTTGAAGCATTAGGCCCAGGTTCAGCCCCGAAATTTGTGGGCCTGAACCCAAGCCTGGAATTTCCGGGCTGGGTTGAAACGATCACAGATCAGCCCTAGTAAAGATAGCGGTGATCATGGGCCAAGCCAGACTGTGCTTGAGACTATTATATTATACGACATACAATATATGCATGAAAGAAAAATGGCATATAATATGTAATATACTAAGCATTTTTTTAATGAAATTTGCCCTTTTCACCTCAAAAGAAAGTCGATTCTTTATATTTGAATTTAAAAAAGAAAAGAAATGCCCAAATTTGACAAAAATTATTCTCTGCAGCACTGGTGACTGATGAACTAATTAAAAGAAGAAAACTTCTCTAGGTACAATTCATTCCTGGCTGATAATCAGTCGCAGATTCAAAGGTGTACTTCATCAATCTTAGTTTTCCTCTGAAAATCTTTTTAATTTGCTTATGCATAATCATATTTGTGCATTGTACACACTTTCCTTTTGTGTATCCCTCTGTGTAGCTCCTCAATGTACACAAGGAGGTCTTCCGTCTCCCTTTTCTGAATCATCATCATCCAAGTTTTACCATTAAGAGGGCATTCTTTTTCTGGATTTTGAGAGGGGGGGAAGTTGGTCAAACCAAGAATCCCATATTCTTTTTTTAGATTTATGTGGGGCCCAAGAAAGGTTTATTTTGCTAGGTATCACTTACCCCATCTCCTAGATGGGTAAATAACTTTCCCAGCTGGGGAAGGTTGCTAATACTTGAATGGGACAAAAATACCCATTTTAATATTAGATTTTTATGGCTAAAATGGTCATTGCATTATTTATATGGGAAATAAAAGAACATGGGTAAATGCATTTTTGCAGTTTCCGTCGATAATTGAGTTGGAAGGCAAAAACTTTTCCTCCAAAAATTAGGATGAAACTTTTTTGTCTGATTCTGCTTTTTTGTATAGGATAATTAGCTAAAAGGTAAAACAAACAAATGGTGGAACTTCAGATGCTAATACTTGATTTTCTATTCACTTTGGATGTAAAATTAAAAACAAATTTATGAGGAGAATCAACTATTATACTAATAATAAGTTTACTTGAGGCTGCATTTGGAATCAGTGTAAAACGTCATTAGTGTACGTTGACGTTGTTTTTTTGAAAAAATAATGATGAGTGGAAGTATGTAAAATGTTAAATAACTTTAGAGTTGATGAGATTTTTCATCCAAACGCAGGTAAAACTGAACAGGAGCATAATTTGAGGTAGATAATAATTATACCCTCTTTCCAAACGCATACAAAATGAAACTGATGTAAAATTTACATCGGTTCTTGATTTACAAGGTATCCAAATGCAGCCTAAGATGAAAAATTTTTAGGAATATTAATAATAATAATATTGATTTTTTGAAAATTCATTCAACAGTACAGGAAATAGAAACTAAGGTGTAAGAAGACAGCTTAACCTTTTCTTTCAAACTAAACACAGCCTTGGATTACTTCAGGGCTGTGTTTGGTTTGAAAGAGAAAGATAGGGAAAGGAATAATGGAAAGGTAGGGAAACCTGATATAAAGAAGACGGCTTAACCTTTTCTTTCAAACTAAACACAGCCTTAACTATCCCAACTATAAAGAAGACAGTCATGGAGTAGTCCTGCTCTTTTCGGGTAAAAATAAAACACCCTGTGGCCCCCAAATCCTGCATCTTATAAAATTCTTCTATCTCACAAATCTCATGAAACAGATACAATATCATAACGAACAAAGTGGAATTACGTAGAACCCACTTGAAAGAAAGCCTCAAAAACAACTAACGATAAAAAAAGAAACCAAGTACATAGAATTTAGAAATAACATGAATCCATTTGTAGCTATTGGAGTAAACAGAGTTACGCTTAGAATTCGGAATCATGGAACAAACAATAAGAAGAGTTTACAAAGAAAACAGCAAGCAAACCGGAAGTTGTACAAAAACCTGGGTTTAGGCTCTGCAGACGGACCGCTTCAAAGTCGATGCTCTTGCTAGTTTCCTGGGAGCTCTTTATATCTAGGGAAGCCGAGGGGTTCCTGTTGAACGTACAAACCGTGAAACCGGCGATATGCAGGATGCAGTAACGCCGCCGGTAGCGTGTTCCACAAGCCACATAAGCAAGTGGTCATAACACGTTCCAACTTCCAACCTTCGTAATCTCACACGGCATATCTCATGCATGGCGGGTTCCAAACTTTCAATCTATATATTAATAAAAGTGGAAATCGATGTGATCATGATTCTCGTTTGAGAAAAGTTATTTTTTTATTTTTTTTAAAGTATAAAATAATATTTATTATTTATTTTGATTAGATCAATAAAGCTGCATACTATTAAAATATAGACCTTTGGTTTTTTGAAGTCTCTTATTTTAATACAAGTTATTATTATATTTAAAAAAATATATTTAAGAGGGTTTTTCAAGGCCTCTTATTTTAATACATGTTATTATTATATTTAAAAGAGAGAGAATAGTAATAATATAAATCAAGGTTTTTAAAACCAAACCGAATAACGAACCGGTTAGAAATCCGGTTCCCGGATCCGACGGTCCAACTATTTGAACTAAACAAATGGGCCGTTTTTAACAAAACTATTAAAAAATTAAAAATTAAAAAACGGCCAAAACCGTTGAACGATTCAAACGGTTTGACCACCTGGGTCAATGGTTTACTGACCAAATCAACGATTTTTGGCGAAATAACGACTCTAGGGTAAAACGAAACCGATCACCTAACCGGTTCTTGGTTTTATCTTTCACTAAAAATAAATATTAACAAAACTTAGTAAATATTAAAAATGTGTTTCAATTCCACTTAAAAATCCAACTTAATAAATGCTAATAAAAACAAGAAATTTAAACATAAAAATATTAATTGATAGTTTTAATAATATTATTAAATAACTTATGAGTTGAGACCTTAATAAACGCTAATAAAAAGTATTAATTGATAGTTTTAAAATACCAATAATTAATTAAAAATCTGAAAATTTCTGAAAAACCTAAACATAATTAAAATACTAAAAATTAAAAATATTGAAAATTAACAATATTTTATATTAATAAGGTTATTTACTAAAAATAATTAAAAAGTACAATTAATAGTTTTTTATTTTTAAAACATAACAAAAATTATTAAAAAAATACCCAAGCCAGAAATTATTGAAAAATAGTTGTCTTTTTAATTAACTATGGTATTTATTTAGTTATTTAATTTATTTTTATTGAAAGAAAATGCAAATTAATTTTGTAATGGCTAATATGAAAAAATAAATGATGAAAATACTAAAAATTATTAATTACTAGATAATAATGAGAAACACCAAAATTAATTAAAAATCCAAAAATTTTGAAAAACCTAAAGCTTAATTAAAATAGTAGAAATAATTAAAAAATTAAAAATTGTATTTTATTGAAAAAATACTGAATAATAACAAAAAAAATAATGTATTTTAATTATTAATAGTAATATAATTAACAATAATTATTTTTAAACTATAATTAACCGTTATTATAATTTAAGCTATAAATAGTAGAAAATTACGTTTAATTAGTTTTAACCAAGAAATTAGCAATATTTCTGAAAATATGATAGTTTCTTGAAATTACTATATTTTAAATAAATATAGTAATTTAATAATCACAATATTTTAATACTTAATAATAAAAACTAACAAATCGTTTATAACTTAACCTAACCCAATTAGATCAATAAATTTACAGGCTCAAGCAACTATTTTCTTTTGAGTTAGGTCTAGTTGAGATATGCGCCATGCCTATACATTATCAAGGATAATCAAATCCAAAATTTAATTTTGTATCAAACTTTTGAAGTCCAATGATGGCTTTAGCGGATAGGGCCCAAGCTAAACAACCCCTAATAAGCTCAACTTGGAAGTTATATGCATATATGGTAAATATCTACAATATTTATATAACAAATTTTATATTAATATATATATATATAGAGAGAGAGAGAGAGAGAAATGTTATATATATTTTTTTATACAAGACTATAATTAAATAAAAATTTTAATTTGTAAAAAATCATAGCATTATAATTAACATGGGACTCTTTATCAACAGAAAATGTACAACTTTGAGCTTGAGCCCAAGCCCAACCCTTATATAAAGCCCAAAGCCCGATCTATACACAAAATGTCTTATTTTTAGTATACTTTTATAAAATAATATTATATTAGTTTAGTAATAATTTAATAAATTATTAAACTAATTTATATTTCTTAATAGTAAATTGATATTTATTAATAACTTAAGAAGCATATATATATATATTATTATATTTATTATATATAACATAAGTACGACACAACCCTGTGGGCTAACACAACACGACCCACACTTTGTGTGGGCCACATGCGGGTCGTGCTGTGCCGGCCCAACACAACCCGATTTACACCTCTACTTGAACCTGCCTAATAGTAGGGACGGGGGTGGGGAAATTTGAGGTTTCCCCATCCTTGATGAGTAGTGAGGTGACTTGCCCCTTAACTTGCCCGGCATTAAGGAGTGGTTGCCTTGCCCTGAACTTGCTTTACACTAGGGACAGGGCAAGGATGGGGTAGAGTATCTTCACTATGGGGTAGAGACAGGGATGGGGTGCCCTGCCTTGAACCCACCATATTGTCATTCCTATATAATTGTTAATTATTAGTGA